CTTCCACCACGAGGATCTTAAATTATTTCCTCGTGCAACATACACCGGTCACCAATAATCGCGATAGTTAGGTTACAAAATAATATGCTGCCGCACGTTTCGTGGTAAGTCATCGAGCTTCAAGGATCCTCCATGCCGACATTAATAAACGTCGCTACATTCCTGGTCACGACGACGGTACTAATTTTTGCGCTATAAAATTTCGTCCGGTGGTGACGTTCAATGTCGTGACGGCGGACGCAAAAACACAACTGGCACCGTTACTTCGCTCTGCGGTAACATATATCAGTAACTTTACTGCGAAACATCGTTAGCGATAAAAATGGATAGGACTGATTTCATTTATATATCCGAAGATACAATGATCGGAAGACTAGTATCATTTGGTGTCGTGATGACTGTTATCGCTAATAATACTATAACTATTATATATACTTTAGTGTGCGAGCCAGGAGTAAATTTTATTAATACATTACGAAATATTACAGAAAGGTTGAGCCCTACGAACAAAGAAATATTAGAAACAGGAATAAATAAGATTAAACGTAAAATAATGTAAAATAAAGATTAAACGTAAAGTGGACGCAAATAAATCTTGACATTTGATATGTCTCATATCTTATTTGTATCCATTGAGTATTATGTTTAATCTTTATTTCTAATTGTTTTATTCCTTTAATACTTAATATTTATTCCTGTTCCTAATGTTCCCTCCATTATGCGCAGAGCGAATAGTAATGCTCAGATATAAATAAATAAAAAACAGAAAAAGGCATTAATTTAATATCATTTACATTAGCAATAAAATGGACATAAAATGAGTGGAAAACCCAAATGTCACTTTTCACAGTTGCTGAATAATGACAAAATAAGATAATAATTGGCGGAATATATGTCAGTTTCTGAAATCAATTAGGCGCCGCTCTCATCAGTTTAATGGAAAGCTTGTAAAGCACACATACAGCGATACCAAGTTAATTTAGGAGAAATGTATGATATTTTTAGTGCTCATTTATTTCTTTTCCCAATAACTCAAAGTAAAACATTCTTTTCGCAAAGTAAAACATTCATAACGTTCCACGAGCAAAAACGTCTCATTAAATATTATTAAACAACTTTTTATGATATTCTAATTTTCTTTGTAAATCTATTTCGTTATCTTTTTACAAGCTTTATAAAAAATTATAAAACGAAAATAAATATCTTTCCATAGAAAAGAAATAAATGAAAATTATTCAGACGATTTAAATTTGCACGCGAGAGATTTTTTCCTAAATTAAATCTTGAAAAACGGGAAAAACGAATCCTGTTTCTCCTTTAAGCGCAAAAGCTGCTTTTAGTAATCGAGTAAAACTCGATTACAAAAACAGCTTTCACGCTGACGTATTTTCGATCTACGAATCCTTCTATCATATGCATACGAAAAAAATAGTTTCGCTAAAGTAAGTATCTAAAAGTTTATCTAGATACAGATAAAAAATAATTTTGTTAGGTCCCACTAATGTAAGATTAACTTTAATCTCGATTTTATTGTACTTACTGTTTATCTTTTTTTTTTAATTTCAATTCTTAATTTTTCTAATTCATAAAATTAGAAAAAGAGTAGGATTGAACCGAGATTAAAGTTAATCTTACATTGATGGAATTGGGTTTTAGACCATCAAAAAGTAATTATTTATGTAGAACACTCAAGCTGATTGTCAGAATGTTAAATCTTTTGCTCAGAATGTGCTTGAGCGTTCTACATAATTATTTTGACAGTCTAACAGAATTATTTTCGAATCTGTATCTTTTGCTAAATTTTTACACACTTCAGCAAAATCGTTTCTTTTCTATGCATTCACAGAGCGATGTATAATAATCCAACAATGGCGTTTGTTGCATTTCAACTTGCCGCTTGACCTTCGCGTTGCACTTTCCAATCTCTGATCGATATTTATCTCAGGTCCTCAATTTGTCGACCGCTATGGTCGCAATAACATTTAGAGCTCTTTCCGCTTCGCCGGGTCTCACGAGCTTTTATTCCCGAAGAATACATTATTATCCCGTGACGCGATCGACTTTGGCCGGGTCGCGGAATCCGCGAGCGTCGAGCTGAGAGCGTTCGATACGAGAAATGGGGAAAAAAAGGCCGACGTAGTTTTACGTGGCAAACCCACCCAGGCACATACGATCGGCGAAGGCACCTAGAACGGCTCTATATATAGAACACGTAGGCCATATACGGCGTAGACATATGTCACGTGCCTTCGGTGAGTCCTTTAGTCGATACACGCGCAATCACGCAGAATATGCTCGATGTCAGACCGCTAACGAGTTGATTTCTCTTAAAGCGCGATCTCGTTTGTTTTCAAAATTTCAGATTCATAAAATTTGAGAATATCCGATTCCGTCCAACTAACTACGAGACAAATGTTTAATCATACGTGACGTTAAGTGAAAAAACATTTACAGCACCGTTCTTATAGTGCATCGCAATGTGATAATTTTATTTATATCGTGAATTCTTGAAATTCCAAGATAATTTTGCTTATTTTTCAAACTGATCTAAGGTCAAATTAAGCGGTATTCTAATTTGAAGTGAAAAACATTTTAATATTTTCATACAATAAATAAATATATATATATATAAGAACAACAATAATTTTATTTGGAATAATTATATTTGGAATTTATGAATTAATTGATTTTTCTACGAAACTGAACTAGTAAGTATTCAAGAAGAATTTTTTAATAACGTATGTTTTAATAATAACGATAACAATGAGCAGTGATCTATATTATGGTTTTCAAATTATGAGTTTGTATTTAATAAATCAATTTTAATGAATGAAACATCGAGTATCAACAAAGAAATTTCAATAATAAGTGCGATGTACCACGATAACAAAGACTTACATATAACTCAGAAAGTGCTCGTGCTGAATTAATTCAAGTAATCTGATCCATCTCCATCTCTCGCGACTAATCGGTTTAATTAAAAACGTTAATTAAAAGCGACGAGGCAATTATAGTCGGACGAGCTCTACGCGCCTCAAATATATATTATTGTATATATCGGGAACAGTGTAACGCACGATGGATTTCATGCTCGCGTGTGGAAATCGAGAGATCCGTAAGACTTTTAAATTTTTCATGCCGAGAATGGAGAGATACCATTAAAGTCTGGTTGAATTTGATCGTGCATTCAAGGTAAGCGCGATTTCACTGCATTTCGGTAAATGTATCGAAATTATTCGCCATTGATTTCGCCAGTTAAATTTGCGCCGGGATGATACCGGGGTCAAAATTTATGCGAGTTAACTAGGCGTGCATAATTTTCGTTACGTACTTACAACGATGACGGGAACTAATTGGGACACCAGCAATATGACAACTCCAATTAGCAAGCTGCAGACAGGGCAAACACGCGGTTTCCCGCAGTTATCTGCAGCCCCCACATTGCCCCGAGGGTAATGAAAACTTGGACTGTCGAACTTCGAATCTACCGGGAGATACTTTTCAGATAAGCAAGAATCCCTGGATCTAGATCAGAAACTTTTAATGTGTTATAGGTAAATAGATGTATGTGGAAAGTGCTTCCAAAAAAAAAGAAACGTTTTTTCCAAGCGTTTCACGCTCAACGAGTTCTAATTGCCATAAAATCGAGAGAATTAACGGAGTTCTTAAGTCGGAAAGACAATTCCCGAGAGAGCTCGAACTTCTTCGCGCAAGACCAATAGCTGCGCGAAGACAGCCCTTGCTTGACCCCTTCTGCACCGAGCGCTTCCTTCCTGTGAAACTTTGAGCTTTTAAGAAATTTATTAAACCTCCATTTCGAAGGAAGCGCAATTTTATAGTTAATCTTTCTGCAAATCTAGTCTTTAAACAAAACTCTTTACCATTGTGCCATTTTACACCGTTGAAACGCACCCCAACATAACGTTAATTAATGTGCTATTAATTAAATGGCCTATATTGTACGAAACATTTACACAGCCGTTGCACATTTCATTGTAATTTATTCAATTTGCCAAATCAAATTCTTTTAAAATTTCCTCTTTTTTAGGTTAATTGATAAATTTATTTCTCATTTTAATTTTTCTAATTTATCAATTAAACTGAAAAGTCTAGCAGAGTTTAAAAAGAAGTGGATTTGATTAAAGTAATTGAAAATTGAATTTATTCTGATATTAATCTCACAAACGATATTCGCATCGTGCGGAAGAAAAAAATTTAATTTTAATTAACAAAATTGCGGCTGTAATTTCTTTCTCTAGATGATCGTGTTCTATAATACGACTATAATGTAAAGGAAAGTTTAGGTGGTGACTCGGAACGTCAGTATTACGTACGTAATGCCCGTAATACCCGGTGTGTTCTAGATGTTTTAGCCACCGACATCGATCCCAGGTGTAGTACGGCGTGTTGTAAAAGTATGCGACAGGGCGTCGGCGACAACTGTCAACGTCGCGACGCCGCTGTCGCGACATGCTCGCGAGCAAAACGAGCAAATCGTCGCGCGCGCGAGCAATAACAGTCACGATAACACGAGGGTATCGCGGATGATAATTCGGTGGAATCAGAGACAGACGTAATCGCCGAGAGAGCAGCTTATATACCGTGCACGAATCCGCGTTGTTGTCGGCGCATAGAAGCATTCCGGTGAATAATTCGAGAGCTCCGAAGAGATGGCCTTCGGAAAAGTTACAAAAGTAAAGGCTTGTGCAGTTGCGACTTTAGATCGTCTAACGTTAAATGTCGTTGGGTCATCGTCAAGGAATAAAAACAGCCCGTGAGATATAACGAACTTTATTCGACAGAGAAGACTCTGGTTGGTATCATTGACGGTATCCCTCCAAAAAAAAAAAAAAAAAAAACTAAAAAGGTAATTGATAAAAATCGCGAATAATTAAGAACACCGTTCTCTATTTAATCGTGAGATTTAAACGCCCTTTAAAATTCTATGAATATATATATATATAACGATTGATGATCTAATCAATACATGATTAATAAAAAATGTGTGCATCCTTCCGGTCTTTCTAATATATCGGGGAAAATCGGAGACGACACGAGAGATTCGTAAGATTCAAATAATGTTGTCAATGATGAGTTCTGAAGATTGTCGAGAATCTGTCTGCGAATGCAACAAGCGAATGCATTATTGGAGCAAGCGACTTGACCTGAGAAGAAGTGGATCAGAAGCACGGATGCGTTACGAGTGCTCCACGATTAATACGAATACTCGGCAGATGCCTCGGCATATCTCAGAAGGCAACAACATCTAAAATTCTATTTACCATATGCTAATGGTATGTAATACGGTGATATATA